GTGCTGATGAAATAAGATTATTTATTACGAAATTTTTGCGCTTCTCCAATCACCTACACACACTAGCACATACACATACTCGCACACACACACACACCCCCATCCAACACTGGACTCAACTCCTCCGCTCAGTTCGTTTGTTCGGCATCAGTTTCTGTTTCGCTGTCTTTGGTCCATTCATAAATTTGTTATTGGAGGCATTGTTGTCGCAAATAACGTAAATAACAATTTATCATATTGTAAAATTCTCATATAATATTACACATCCTAACAAGCAAAAGCGCGCACACATACACACACACACATACAAACACACTCATAAATGCCTATCGCACACCACATTCAGCCCGCACGAACGTATTATTGATATCTTTTAATACAGAATATAAAAAATTTAAGATAAATCCGTCCGTAGTCGGCGGTCCGAGTTTACAAGCCACTTGTGGTGTTGGTCGGGCGTTGCTTGAGGAGCTTGTACAGCTGTGTAGGCTGTCTGTCAGCTTATGCTGTGTGTATCGGTGGGTGTGGATGTGTGTCGTGTCATTTAAATTAATGATTGTTGATTTTCGATATCCAGTAATTTGACAAAGTGAGCTTGTGGAGCTTTTGAAGGTTTTCCGCTTCTAATTTATGGCCTTCTCGTAATTGTTATAGCGAGCAGGCAGTTTGTGTTGTTGTTGAGCGAGGACCTACAAAAAAGATTGCAATTTTAAAATGGGTTTTCTGTTAATTTTTGTGGTTTTAATTTTGCATACCTAACGTTAAATTCTAGATGTCCTTAGACTATAGTTTTTGAGTTTCTTGCATTAAAGTGCAGATGTTTGATTCTGTGGGGTATGTTAAGCAGAACTCACTACTTTTCAGGACGACAATAATTGGGTATTTGCTTGACCGAACACTATTTAGCCCGTAACTGACCGTGTGTTTGCTTGGCTCTGGGCATTGTAGCACGAGGATGAAACAGAAAATTTCACGACAAGAATTATCGGCTGCTTGTTTAACCCATCTCATTGAAAGGCAAGGGTTACCAAATCTTTGCTTGACTCATCTTATTTAGAATGAGGTCCACTGGCTTTTTGCTTGAACAATCACATTTAGCTCGTGACTCACCGGGTGTTTGCTTCAACCAGATCTTTCTAGGGCGAGTATGACCGGGTGTTTGCTTGAGTCAGTACTTTCAAGCACGAGTGTGATCAAAAGTGTTTGCTTGGCTCAATTGTTTTCCGAAAGAACATGACTGCGTCCGCTTCCGTGAGTTGCTTGCGGCAAACAAATGATGGGGTGTTCGTTGATCCAAAACTCTTTTCAACGAGGGCGACGAGGTCCTTATTTGATCTGGTACTTTATAGGTAAAGGAGGACCAAGCAGTTTTTTTTTAAAGATGGAGCTGCCACTATTAACTTATTAACTGGATACTCTTCAGTAAAAGCTACAAAACCCCTGTTTGGACACCAAGAATAAACTGAGTTAGGTTAGGTTAGGTTGCGATGGCTACCAATCTAAGAGACCGGATTCACTTAGGCCTGACTTAGACGCATTGTGATACCACAAAAACTTCAACCATCAGGCTTCATGCTTCATCAATTTTGATTCTCTAATGAATCTTATTAGATCCATGACTTTGGCGTCAGCTATCTGCGAAACTTCGCCCTGCTTAGTGCAGGACAGCCGCATAAGAGATGGGTGATGTTTTCCTCCTCTCCATCCTTCTTGCAGCTTCTGCAGCATCTTCTGTAGGGAGCCTCTAGTCTTCCTGCGAGGCGCCCTATCAGACAGCGGTCAGTCGGAACTTCTAAAACTTCGGACATGTTGCCTCTTTTTTAGGAGTACCTATCTCGTGATCTCTTCTCATGCCATTTCGGCCAAGTGTGCCTAATTTTGAGACAAGGCAAGCATTTCGAAGCAGTCTCAGCATGGGTGAATACCTGCTCTGAAAGCACATTGAAAAAGTGAGAGCTAAAAGGCTATCAATACCAAGTTTTTAATATAATAGTCAGGTATATTGTCTAAACTTATAAGGCTGATAGTGAATAAGGTTTCCTTGCAGGAGACGAAATATCTCCTGTCATCACACAAAGAGTCATGGCAAGCGCGACTTGGCTCCCACGTCACTGTCGACAGTCATAACTTTGAAGTCGTGGATAATTTCATCTAACTGGGAACCAGCATCAACACCAACAATAATGTCAGCTTTAAAATCCAACTCCGAATTACTCTTGCCAACAGGTGCTACTTTGGACTGAGTAAGCAATGGAAAAGTAAAGTCCTATTTGGACAAAAAAATCCGAAACATTACAAGTCTTTCATCATTTCCAGCTTAGTTTATGTTGCAAAAGCATGAACTATACCGACATCGGATGAGTCAGCCCATGACCCACCCAGAATAAAGTGTCATGAACAATTTATGATCCTTTTCGCATAAACATCGGTGAATACCCGCGGACGAATGAACGACAAGCTGTAAGCGTTATGCGGCGACATTCTGAAATGAATTAAAGCAACCCAGGGCTCGCCGCTGGCTACAAGCAGACCCCCACTATGTTGGAAGGACCTGGTGGATCTGATTTCACTTGGTATTTCCAACTGACGCCAAACAGCGAAGAGAAGGAACGAATAGCGCGATATTATTGATTTAATGAAGAAGAATAAGATATATGACGCAGCATTCCTTAGGTTGTCCTAGTAATAGATAAAAAAAAGTTTGGCCAAAGCTGGGGGTATTCGAATTAGTAACTAAATCTAAATCTTAGAAATTAGATTCAAGTTGGGGCACTTTAAAAATGGCCAGGAATATTGCGATACCGTTCTTTGTCTAGCCTACTCAGCGTTAGAGTTTGCTTCCCTCTAAATTTTGGCCAAGCTAATAATTTTAATAATGGCTTGAAGATTTTAATTGTATTCTTAATGTTTGCAAGAGGTCTTCGATGTTTAGAGGTTATTTCTTTCGACCGAACATCACCTCACAAAATCTTATTTCAGATTTCCCAGTTTGAACGGGACTCAAACCAGTTCTTATTTATTTAAACTTAGCTTCAAAACAAGTCCTCAAAAGTGTGAAGAGGGGCATTTGAAATTCCTGCAAAGCATTGAGGATGTAAAGATCTTTGAGGTGGAGTGATATTTCGAAGACTCTAGTCGGCGACCACCTCATTGGCAGCGAAAGGCTTACCATCAACTAGAGGGAAGAAAGCTAATTTTTTATAAACTACTTCTGATCTTTGGAGAATGCAAAAAAACTCCATGGTCTTCTCGATTTTTTTAATCTACTTTTTGCTTGATTCATCTCTTTTGCGGAAAACTCCATCATCTGAAATTTGGCACTGTTCCAGGCTGTTATCAATAACAAAAATTAGGTTCGGAGTTTCACAGCAACGCAATAATTTAGCTGACAATTTCAAAAAGAAATGTCCGCACTACATTGGTGTTGTTTCCTCATCTTAAAGGTGCAACCAAAACCTTTCCAGCCTTACCATGTTGGCCTCCAGATTAGTAGACGCAGCCTTGGGTTACTTACTTAAGTTCACCTAAGTCAAATGCTTTCCTTCAATTGATTGCATTTTCGAAAGCGGGAATAAATACCTTTTTCATGGGTTAACTATGATGGTTGAGAGTCTGCCATGAGGAAACATTACACTGCTCTAAAAGTAGCTTGGCGCTGGACAACTCCGAAAACTAGGCAGCCACAATACCACTCGGTTATTGTACAAGCTGCTATTCGGATTGTCAGGATACGAGTTTTGGTCCGACTAACATCCAAATTTTAGAAAACGAACTTTTCTAACTGAAATCGCTTCTCGGCAGATAATATCAATACCTCCAAGTTAAGTTCTGATATTAAATTAAAACTCCATGAAACAGGAAAACATCTGCCGTTCGGAGGCGCCTTAGAATATGCTTTTAAACTAAAAAGCCGCACCTCACAAATTGAAGCAGGAGCTCGGCCTAAAATTTCGTCAGCGGTCTTAATCCTCGGAGGATTTGATACGCACTGCTGAGCGGTGAACGCAATTTGAAAAATTAATTTCCAATTTATTTTCTATAATTTTCCATTGGAGGCCGCAGTAGATGCGTGGTCTGGGGTTCTAACCATGGCGAAGGCAACATCTAAACAAATAGAAATTTAATTTACAAATGTATTTATATAAAATTTTTAACTTTTTGCTCTGAATTGACTAATAGCTTTGGGAGGCGCCATATGTATGACATTTGCTGCACAAATAAATTAAAAAAAAAAATTAAAAATAATAATAAAAAAATAATAAAAAAAACCGGATATACGAATGAAAAAAAATCTAAACTATTATCATTATTACAAAAATCCCATTTGCCTTATATAAATATCATGCCTATCTACATTTGTCATTAATGCGTTTTGATAAAAATGATTTTGCAATATTTCTCTGTCATAAAAAATTATAATTCATAAATTCCGCAAAGTAAACAATTGCCAATGAATGCAACGATATATCTGCATTAACGTCAATGGCAAACTGACATACATTCACATATTTATTTAGAATAGAAAGATATTAATTTCAAAACCAGTAGTAAAACTCACGACTAGTTGTAAAAGTAACTAGTCGTTTTGCGACTAGTTTGAAACTAAACTTAAAAGGGCAAATAAAATTTCAAACACAAATCTTAAAAATAAACTTCATTCGTTTTACGACATAAATTTAATAGCGGACAAACTAATTCAGATACTAAGTGCACTAGTTACCAACTAGTTCAAGATCATTGCAAGCAAGCCCAATAGAGAGTGCACATAAATTAATGAAATTCTAATAAAATTATTTATGAGTGCGTTTTGAGTATAGAAAAGCGCTTTCATACACAACTACAATTTGTACTCGCAACCCAACCACCGCGGTGTCACCACTAAAATGGGAAAGCAACGTGAAAGCTCACAGCAAACCGATAAAACACTCTAATAAAATGTATTTATTTTTATGCTTCGATAAGAAATTTTCCTATCTTTGTTTTGTTTTTCATATAAAACAATGAGAACGCGTTCGATTGTTTTATCAATCATCAATTACATGCATACTAATACGGGTATGTATGTATGTGTTATACACCTGGGTGTGCGCACATTTCTATGCAGGTAGAATACTTTTCATTATTAATATGTGTGCAAAAGAAAAACCAATTGAAATATTCATTGTTGAATCGCAAATGGATTGGCACATTTATCGTTAGCAATTACTATGAGAGGTTTTCATTTAGTGATATACATCTAAATATGTTTGGATACACTGGGAGAAAATTTTCTAAAACAACTAAATAAAAATTTTGGAATGTGTTTTTCAAAAAGTAGTTGTCTATAAGCCAAACAAAAATTATAAAGAAATTAACGAAAATCGGCAGCGAGTCTACTTAGATAACAAATTTTTATCCCTGAATCACAATTTATTTTTTTTTTTCTTAAATAATTTATTAATCTTAGGAAGCTTAAAGTTGAAATTTATAAACAGAAAATTTGCAGAAAAATTTAAAATTTTGTTTGGAATTATTTAGCTACACAATATATGTAAGTTCCATGACGCTTACATATGTATGTCGAGGCCATTGAAAATAGTTAAGTAAGTGAAAATAAAATAATAAAGAAAATTGGCAACCAGGCCATCCAATCAAATCCATTCTGAGATTGTTTATATTATTGAAATAATCAATAAAGCTTATTTGCTCAAATAAGAACTTTAACCTAAAATCGACGAAAAGAAAAATGGCAACATTGCAAAAAACAAGACATTGCTACCGCAGCCTACAATTTCCAAACTAAGAGCGGTAATTGTTATGTTCAATAAGTGATTTAATGGACACTTATGGGACATAGAACCAACTAAATATGTAAATGTTTTTTCAGAGCACAATTATTTAGAAGAAAATTACCAGCGTTGCCTGAATTAACGCTATCTTACTTACTTTACTGGCGTAAACTGCGCTCATGCGATTTTACAACATTGCGCCATTCGTTTCTTCTTTTTGCTTATTGACGCCAATTGGAAATACCAAGTACAGCCAGGTCCTTCTCTAGCAGGTTTTTCCAACGAAGTGGAGGACTTCCTCTTCCTCTGCTTCCACCGGCGGGTACTGCATCGAAAGCTTTCTATCTGAAAATTCTAAAAAGTAATGAAGGAGTGAGTAAAAGTTAACTACTGCTAATAAAAATACTCAAATTGGGGTTATGAAAAGAAAATTGGCAACATTGTTGAATTTAGTTTCTATAATTTAGTTTCTATAATGACAACGGGAATTTCAAAACCTTTCTCATCCAAAGTCAAAGGAATCAAGTAAAATCGCTGAACAAAGTGCTGTTTAAGAAGGCTCAGCAAATTAGAAATTTTAAGTAGAACTTGGTGTATACTGAGAACTAACGGAAGAGTTTATGCAACGTCACGCGCTCAAATGAGTATTCTTTCTCAAGTAAATATGCTAATATGGAATAATTTTATGAATTATAATATAAAATATTAATTTTTATTTGTCCATAAATTTTAACCAAAAATTTAAACCATAAATTTTAACCAAAAATTTAAGGAGAGAATTGGCAACGTTGTTAATTGAACACAATTTCAGGTATGATGCATAAGGCATAAAAGAAAAAGTTTTAATGTATCTAAGATTGACTGGAAATACGATAAGAGTTATACATACATACATTCTATTTCAGGAAAATTGGTAACATTGTACAGTATAATATCAAAATGGTTGCCGCAGGGCAAAAAATTCAGCGCAAAAAATTTAGAAACAGCTTCAAGAGAAAATTCGTCAGAGCGAACTCTTGCAACTATCTAAAATAGCTCAAGAGAATTCTGTATTTCAAAGGGTGTAGGCAACTTTCTTTGTAAAAAAAAAATGTATTAGGAAAAATTGGCAACGTTGAAAAAACTCCAAGTAATTATAATCGTTAAAAAGAGAAGATTAAAAAAATGTTGAAACAAAGTTTTATTAAAAATGAGTTGTAAAATAAAATTTTCTTCAAATGATGATTGGCAATAGGGCCCAAAATAAGGCTGGCAAACAAACAAAAGTTCTAGCCAAGAGAAATATATGAAATCTGCCAAGAAAAATGGCAACGGTGTCAAGTTCGAAACTGCTCGCCTTGACAAAGTTCTACGAAAACCTCATTTGCAAAAAAGAGGGGAGCAGGAGAACATTTTAATTTGGTACTTTTGAAAAATATATTTTATTAAAAAGAGTTTCTTCAATGAAAACTGGCAACAGAGACAAATTTAAAATTGAAATGTGATTACTTATTTAGCATAGCCGTTAAACTTCCCTATGAGTTTGAAGCCTTTCAAAAATATTTCAACCCCTATTTAGAAAACTGAATATATTTGTTATTTTTTGAAAAGGAATTTCAAAATCCATCGACTTTTTCTCTCAGTGCAGCGTAACAGTTTCATAAATTAAAATGAAAACACCCTTCGATGCCTTTAGTAATTACAAACTTAACACTTAACTGACATTTAGTATCCACCTTTAGGCGCCTTAACTTAGAACGCCCTTAAAAATAATCGAAAATATTAAAATGTCCGAAGTCAATAAGCAACAATCAAAACCATTCCTTCAAAGTTTTAATCAAATTTTTTATACTTGTAAAATTTTAGGAATTTATCCATATGATTTTCACAAATTCTACTATCAAGGCATACTGCAAGGCTCACGAACTAGCTGTTGCGTGGTTATAGCAGTCATTTTTATAATTTTTGTGCTCTTCAACATTACACTATTTACCTTTGGCGATCAGCATGTAGTGGCGAAATACAGTGAGTAAACAAAGAGCGAGAGGGAGCAAATTCCTCTTTTTTTTTTGTTTTTTTTTTTTTTTTGTAATTCTTAACCATTTTATTTCCACTTACAGATCATCTCAATCTCATCATCAATGTAGTCTTCACGTACATGACGCCCATAGCGATGTTCACCGATGAGATTACGGCCATGCGTAACCAGAAACTGTTGCCTAAACTCTTTGCACGCATTGATTATGTGGATGAGGACCTGGGTCAACTCGGCATAACAGTGAATAATAAACGCGTGTATCGTCGCATTTGGCTAATGATCGTATTGACTTTTGTTTGCGAGTTTTATATGTTCTTTGCTATGATGTGGCTGATAGTCGATGAATTCGAATGGTTCAATGTGCTCTGGATCTTTACCTCGATACCGACGATTTACAATTCATTGGACAAAATATGGTTTTTGGGCATTTTGTTGGGTTTGAGGGATCGTTTTGAAGCCATCAATACAGCGTTGGATGATATAACTGAGGAAATAGAGAAAAATAACTTGCAAAAGCGAAAAGGACTGGTCTATGAGCAGAGTGTTGGTGTTGGCGAGTTGATGCTGCATACGTCACTGTCAGTGGGATCAGAGCGGATTTCTGGTATGTATGATAAGTAAGAACGATCTATTTCGGACGAAAAGTAAACAATTTATCTTAAGCGAAACTGGAAGAAACGCTAATTTCTTCTCCTCCTTAATTTGCGTGAAATCAGCGGTGATATCCGAGTCATTCAATGTGTCTTTTTGCTGTTTGCCGCCAATTGGAAGCAGCAAGTAAAGTCATGTACTTCGTCAGCTGATCTTTCCGACCGAGTAGAGTTGGTTTTCAAAGATAGCATTCACTGACTTTTGGCTTGACTTCGTCCATTCGTAGGTACTTGCTACTTGGACTTCATTATAATCCTTTAGAGGAAGATCTGCTTTATCTTCACCGATATATTTAATACTATCGGATTTTTCTTCACCATTTTTTTCGTCTGCATTGCCATTCAGCCCGCTGTTTGGTTGGTCTGTCCATAATACATCTGTCAATAGATCACTTTTTACTAAATAAGCCTGAGTTCCGATCATAAAATCTACTGAAGTTCGACGTATTTTCGCATAGAAATTTCAAATAATTCATTCCATCTCCTGGTTAGCCGCCTCTGGTTTTCTTTCAACGAATTCGTCATGCTTCCCTTTTCAGTTCACGGTATCCACCACACGACATACGCGGTGTGGACGGCTCTCACCGTGTCACCTTCCTTCCTCCGACTTTGTAGAAAACAAATAGTTTCGTTAGCGGAGCTGAACGAAGGAAGCATAAACCCCCCCTGCGGGTTAGGGGCTCAAGAATTTACCCGCGGTAAGGCATGCCTGTCGTAAGAGGCGACTAAAATCCAATAGTTCCCGCGACAGTCGGGTCTTTATACCGGAACGACCCGGATTTTTATCTGGCCAAGGACTGTCACTCCCGCAACATTCCCCAAAAAGTACTTTGGGTAATAATTTTGGGGTTACAACAACAACAACAACAAGGAAGCATAAAATATGAACACACAATGTGTTTACACCGGGAGAGCGGAAGTGTAAGTCAAGTAAAAAATCGTTTGGCTATCCGTTGTGATCTTTTTTCGACGTCGAACTTCCCAGTGTTGGTTGCGTATCCTTACCAAGGATAATCAGTAAGGCATGTTTCGCCGTGGAGATTTAATTTTTCGACGGTTATGCCGAGGATACCTTCTTTGCTCACCCTGGCTTGACTTTGTCATTTTTGTGGGGCTAGCACACAATTCCAGCGCTCATAAGAGACACCCTTGATCACATCGTTCGTCTCTACCATCGGTCGTAGGCGCAAATCAGTAACGTATTGTAGAACTTCTCTTTGATCAGAATTGAGACGAGATTGTGGTGAATTCCAGGATTTGGTGACTCAGTCTATCCTCCACCATGATGCCGATACTTAATTTGTGCACCTTTATATGGCCACATTACTAAGTATCACTAGAACTCACCGTCTTCAGTTTTTGGCTCGCTCAATGCGCTTCTAGGTCGGTGGCGGTGTCAGCCAGCAGTCTTCAGGAATGCGACATTCTAGCTAGGTAGTTCTTAACAATTTTACAGCGGTCGTCATCCAAGGTGGGGTCTTTCACCCGCGACTATTGGAGCTGATTTCTACGTGGCGGGTTCTAATTTTAGCGTTCAACATCGTTAGGAGAGACTTACCCTACACGAGAGCTGTTCACATATTTGTAGTGGACTTAAGATTAAAAATTCGGCATATACTGGCAGCTGTAACGGTGCATCACGAGGCAGGATTGCAACCCTCCAACTGTGTGTTCGCGACTCCAACGCTTCACCTATCATTTTTTAATGGTTTGTTAAAAAATGATGAGCCTACTTTTAGGCGCTCGTGATGTATAACAACTTGGGTCTTTTCACAGAATTCCCCAAAAGTTTTTATATATATTTTTTTTAAATTAATTTCTTCTACTCCGCAGACATCAAATTGGAACGACTGGTATGTAATGCCTTCGGTGAATTGGTGTGCGAACGTGAGTCAAACAAAAGCGCCGCTGTAATTGTGAGCTATGAAAATTCGTCATATAATTTCGCTGCTTTACAAGAACGTTTCATAAGCTTGTGTCAGCTGCACGATAGCATTTGTCGAATTGCCCAGCAACTTAATCAACTCTGGGCCTATCCGCTATTGGTATTGATGGCATTTGGCTTTGTTTTTATTACGTCACTACTCTATTTTGCCTACTGCGCCACGTGGAATCAGGTAGGCTTACTTTAAGCGACTGAATTTAATTTTTTTATTTTTTAAACTTTCTTATTCATTTGCATCTCTTTCACATCCTCAGAGCATACCGCTGATTTTTAGCCCCGCCAAAAATATATACACTTCATTCATTGTGATCGGCTACATTGCTGGCAAGTGCGTTTCGCTGATGTTTTTCAGTTGGCAGACAACGCAGGCGTCGCGTCGTGCTGGCATTTGTCTGCATAAGTGTGGCGTTGCCGCCGATACCAATGAGGTTTATGAAATTGTGAGTCGGAATTTTCTTCGCAATTTTTTTCCACAACAATACACTGCCCACGTACTCTCTCTCTCTCACTTTCTCTCTCTCTCATTCACTCTGATAATTTCAGGTTAATCATTTGTCGTTGAAGCTCTTGAATCACGATATAAACTTCTCGGCTTGTGGATTTTTCAAACTGGACATGGGCACTTTATATGCGGTACGTGCTGGCGCAAAGTTATCATTCATCCATTCTTCTCTTTGTTTCCTGTTGAGTTTTTATATTTGCATTTATACTTTAAAGCATTTTTTTTTATATTTTTTTATAGGTTTGTGGCGCCATTACCAGCTATCTGATAATACTCATCCAATTTAATATGGCTGGGGAACAAGTGAGGATTTCTAAGGAGCTTGCTGCTGCGAATGAGAGCACCGCATTGACTTTGGCTGCTGAAAATTATACCGTTATGCCTTTGCAAACCACAATGGAGGTTCATTAAATTTTGATTGTATTTTCAATATCTTTGAGGTTATGTAATATTTAAATATGCTTATGAGAAATATCTCACAAAGCAATAAAATTTTACGCTAATACAGGGTGCAGCATCTGTGGCGATAGCTTTTGAAACTCGAAGAGCATTTGCATAGGCTAACTTTTTTTCCACACAAACTTTATCTGTTGCTTTACATTTTATTTGCATCATATTTTGAATACTTCATGCAAATGTTGACCGTGACTGCTCCTCAAACGATCCATCCGCTTAGTCAAATTTTTGCATTCTCTTTCCAACATTTCGGCCGGTATCTCACGAACAAATGGCTCAATGTTGAACTCTAATGCGCCAATTGAAGCGGGCTTAACCGTATAGAAAATAGATTTAACAAAGCACCAGAAAAATTAGTCTTAAAAGCTTAAATCGCACGATTTAGGCGACCAATTGACCGCTCCCGAACATGAAATAAAATTTTCACCAAACTCGCCTCTCAGTAAGTCCATTGTTACGCGTGCTGTGTGGCATGTGCACCGTCTGGTGGTAACCACATGTCATGCAAGTCAAGCTCTTGCATTTTGGGCAAAAAAAAGTTTGTTATCATCTCGCGGTACCGCTCACCATTTACAGTTATGTTACAAAGAAGACGGACGGGTTGAAATCGAGTGATCGCGGCGGCCCACAGAAATGGTCGTTTTTCGATATGATATGTCGGTCGAACATTGTGCTGAGTAGCTAATCATGGCTAATGCGTACCTTATCGCTCTGTAGCACGTATCTTAATAGGTGTACAAGAGAAGAAGTATGAGTGGAAGGGTTCCAGATAAATAAACCCTATGTATGGAAAATAGGCAGGATCGACACTCATCTTGGCAGTAGCGAAGTCATTTGAAGCCTTACTGCTCCCGACGTTCATTCACAAACTGAGTTCAGCAGAGCACAAGAGCACTTAACGTCATAAACACCCAGAAAGTCAATGATCTTAATTGGCACTTTTTTGTAGCTCTCTCCTCCACCAAAAGGGTTTTCCTTGACCTTATGCGCCGATGATTAATTACTGTTGGCAGCTAACCAAAGTATTGATGATCTTTGTTCAAAAGAGAACGGATATCTTGATGACCTGTGCACAACCACAACTTTATATGCCCCCTGAAACCATCACATCTAACCCCCTCTCTGGTACGAACCCGTCGAAACAGTTCGTTTTCTGGACCTCTCTTGGCTTAGACTAATTAAGCTGTTTATAAGCGGGGTTAAAGAGTCGCTACAACAACAACAACAACAACAACAACAACAACAACAACAACAACAACAACTAAATACATATGTCGAATAAGTTAAAGGTATTTGTGATCCGCTAACCGTTATCAAATGAGTAATGTCTAATTACACATACACAATAGTTTTCAACCAATTTAATTTATTTACTAACACATACAATGAGCGCGAGCTCAATTCAATTAATAATAATTTCGCTATTAAATTAGTGCGAAACACTTGTGAAATTATTGCGGTATATTTATGTGTGTATCCACGTATACATGTATGTGTGTATGTAACTGTTAATGCTTCACACAAAAACAAAGCGAATCTTCTATGCTTATATTTGTACTTATGCATCTGTGTATGTTTTCAAGAACTCATTAGTGGTTAATATGTGGGCGTGCATGTGTGTGTATGTGTAGGGGTGTATGTGTGTGTCATTTCTGACATTTATTTGTCAACAAAATAAGCAATAATAAACATTAACGTGAATGCACATGCGTATGTGTATGTATATAGGTGAGTATTTGCATGTTTTTGGATGTGCACACATATATATATATGTACATAAATATGTATAGGTATATCCTTTTGCTTATGATATGTATGTATGTAAATGTGATTTGGATTAGTAATGCGTTATTGCCAACCGCAATTCACGCATCCACCAATAAGCAAATATTTGTATGTGTGAGTGTATGTGTGTGTGTGTGTCAATATTTAGGTCGACAACAATCCAATACTCGCAAGACCCTCACATTACATGCGACGCGGTCATATTGCCACCAAAATACCAACCAGTGTTGCCACATCGACACACGTACAAACACACACACTCACACACACGCTTACATACATACGCACAAGCATACACCTGCATCTAACGGTATAGATATAACGGCATAGCGGTTTAGTAATACAAAGCCAACTAGCGCTTGCAGGCCGAGGTTAGGCCACAAATGGAAGTTGACTCTGTGTTGCATGACTTCACTGCCAACAATATTTGAACGCCACGAGCATACCGTTATTTGACTATTTGACTGATTTCTCTCTCTCTGTGCGTTGGGAGTGTGTTTATACTATGTGTAATTAATTAAATTTTCGTATTGCATAAATGTAAGTTTAAATGTTGAAATGTAAAATGCAAATGTTTATTAATGAAAATGCCAATTAATTTTTTTTTTTTTTACTAACGAAATTTTATAATTTTCAAAGCATTCATTTGTATGGTTGCACATTTGCATGGCTTTGTAGAGACGCAGTTGTGGAAATGTGCGTTGGAAGAGGAAAAATTATTTCTTTGCTTGCACTAAAAGTTTTGTTATACCTCTTATGAAACGAAAATAATTTTGAAAAGTTTTGATTAGAATTTTCAATTTTGGCAGTTATATGGGCGCTAAACATTTTTGTTTTGCTTTTTTTTTAGAAAATATATGCATACATACATATATATTGATGGACAATAACCTGCTTTTATATTTACCTTGAGGCTCCTAGATTTTGAAAGTTATAACCTAAAATTATATTTTTGAAAAAACATTTATATGACAGCTTTATGTTCGGTTTGACCGTAATTGTTAATTTTCACTGAGCACGTTTCTCTATAAAGGTAAAAGTAACATACCAATTTTAAAACTTCTAGCTACTAACGTAACGGAGTTATTACACAAAATGTCATTTTTGAAATTCCATTTGTATGGTGGCTATGAGCTATGGTAATTGTATTTTCTAGAATTTCACTGTCAATACTTTGTTTACTAAAAGCAATTGAAAACATATGTATTATGTTCACAGCTTCGCTGTTTTAGAATTTATAGCCGAAAAACTAATTTTTGAAAAATTAGTTATATGAAAGTTATGTCTTATGTTCAACCGGTTTTGATAATTTTCACAAACCACGTTTCTCAAATAAAGAAAAAGTAAGCTACCAAATTCCAACATTTTACCTGATTCCATAACTGAGTTTTTACACAAAAAAACATTTTTGAACTTGCAGTTGTCTTTCAGTCTATGGTAATTCGAATGAGTTTTTTTACTGCAAATATTTTACTTAAAAGAAGGAAACAGAAAAAAAATTTCATGTCCGCAGGTAATTTATTTGGGAATTTATATTCTAAAAGCGCAGTTTTGAAAAACACTTGTATAGCAGGTATAAGTTCCGTTAAACCAATCTTCAATATTTACACTGTCGAAAGATTAATAAGCAAAGGGTAAGTCGACTACTAAATTTCAACTTCGCAGCTGCTTGTATGAAGGAGTTTGAGCATAAAGCTCCATATTTGAACTTACGGTTGTATGAAGTCAATGCAACATAGTAAACCGATTTCGAAATTTTTCACAATTAACATTTTACTTATGAAAGGAAATCAGCAACAAGAATAACGGCCGCAAAACTGAACAAAATATGGTAGTTCTAACTCGAAAACTCATTTTCGAACAATTATTTGTATTTTTGAAAATACCAATATTAAATTTCTTACTTTTTTGTATAAAAATATACTAAATAATTATACTGGTTATTAAAATTAATGCTTTTTACTTCAATATAATCAGTTTTATAACTCAAAAACTCATTTTTGAACACTTTTTTGTTTCAAAGTTGCGTGACATCGTTCGCTGAGTTTAGAAAATGCTTACTGTTAATATTTAAATAGCTTTAGAGAGACCAAATCTTGAATTATACGTCCCTTACCACTCAGTTGGAAGAGCTATAATTGAAAATTAAATTTTTGAAATAGCTCTTGTACAAGAGCTGCATATCAAATCGGCGCGAATTCTGACTATTTTTGGTAAATAATGAAAACTCAATAAAAATACTTGCGCCAAATCGTACGAATTTCGAATTTGTAAAGGATATAAGCAGTTTTTTTTAAGTTTAATCATCAGTTACTTCGCTCAGGCCCCAAAAAGTATGCAAGTCTCGTGTTCTAGCATAGTGATTGCCAAACAAAAAATGCTAATTACACAGGCAATCATCATCACCAATCCGCTACCAACAACAGTATAACAAGCTACAACAACAACAACAAAATCAAAAATGAACAAAAAACGCAACCCATTGCTGCCGCCAACATCATTAGCCTGGGCTGTGTTGCTGGTATTTAGGGCATGAGCGAGTGGCATCAACAGCCATCCGACATGACGATAAAAGGTATGCCGGTGGAATGAAAGGTTCATATTGGCAGCAGGGTTACAGCCAAGCTAACGGGTAGTCAGCAGTTAGCTTCAGACGCAGGTTACCGTGAAATATTATATGGCTTTGGCATTGATGGCGCAAGTGGTTGGCGGGTGTTGGTTACAAGGCTGTTGCTGTTGCCGATGCTGCAGTCACTGTTGTTGAAGAGACGATACCTTCTGCAGCTGACTATCACGCCGACTCACTGCCACTCACTGTTGCATACAAATGGCGGCATTTTCATTTGCCATTTGCAGGCATGTTGTAGAAATGGCAAATATGTTTTCTTCCTCTTTTTTTCCATTACAGCGTCAGCCGCGCTCATTTGAAAACGCTGCTTGTTTTTTTCTTTTTTATTTTTTTTTTTCATAATTATTATTTTTTTTTATTTTTAACCGCGCAAAAATTTGTATAAATCTAGACGTGCTGAAAAAATACATATTTTTTTTGCGCCAAAAAAATATATCAAAACAGCCGTGGGAGAGCATAAAAAATATAATCGCGTGTAATGAAAGGAATTGGCGGTCGAATGAATTGCTTTTGGCTAAAGTTGAAAAATAAATTAGCAATAAAAAAATTGAAAAAAGTCCGCTGAATTCGCTGCATTTATGCATTTGGAATAACTGCAGTTCAGCTTATCCGCCAACCGCACGCGATTTCGCGCGTGATTGCTGTGTTGCATTTGAACAAATGCTTTGTGGGCTTTGTAAATTAGTGGAAATCATAAAGCTCAAATGTTTCTCTTGCTTTGAATAATCACAAGATTTTAAATTATAAATTTAAAACTGAAGCTAAGAGTGTTAACGAATATATTCAACCACTAACAGCTCGGTTCCTGAGTATGCTTGGGTTACGACGTAAAGACGCGGAGTTTCAATGGAACTTTGTAGACCAAAGGGAAGATGAAGAAACTCCAAGTTTATCTATTCCTCGTTGTCCTTCTGATTTGGGCATTCTACAAGTGTCATTACACCGTATATTTTATAAAGACTTGAGCCTTAAGGCTGGCAAAGTTCAGTTAATACAAGAAGTCGAGCGTGCCGATCATCGGCATCGTCGTATCTTTGCTGATTTGGGCCATGAAATGAATGAAAGCGATACGGAGTTTCATCGCAAAATCATCTTGTCTTCCACCCCGGTGGTAGCGTTAAAAAGTTAGACAGCTGGGGCTCAAAAAGCTGAAGATTTTTTGTTACTAAGCCACTCCATCCTCAACGTGTAAATGTTTGATGCGGTTTTTAGCCCGGTGGGGTTAAATGGAACTTTTTTTTTTCGAAAATAAGATTGGAGTTGACAATTGCGGTGAGTGGATTGCACTATCGAGAGATGTTTAATAATTTTTTTTTGGCCAGAATAGCGTGTTGATAGAATTGATTTGGACTTTTTACACTAGCAACGAAACCATCTATCATTAAAGATAATAGTTTCCGCACCGTGATCCAAAAAATCATCGCATTATTGACCACCAAGATCTCTTGATTTAACATCAAACAAAATTTTCCTTTGAGGCCACATGAAAGATGAGATCTGCGCCAACAGACCAACATTGAATCAAGACCTCAAAGATGGAATTTGGTAAGCTTTTGAGGGCATACAGTAGCCACTTCGCGATTTGGTGATGGAAAATTATGTAAGAAGGATACGGCCCAGTAAACGTAGCTGTGGGGGCCCGTTTTGCAATATTTTTTCCCATTATTAATATCGTAAATTCTTCTTGACATTAAAATAAACATCGGAGCTCTTATCTCAAAAATTTTTAATTATTTTCAATATCAAAATAACACCTATCATTAGAAAATTCTGTTAATGTGTTCTTAAATTAAAAATATCCTTTTAGCGAATCTGTTCCCTGGACTGGGGGCCCAGCAGCCATAATTCAGTTCCAAAGGAAAGGTTAAAGCAGGACCGGCGACTACAACAAACAATACGTGCAACTAAAAAGCCACAAAAGACGCCGGCCAATCTGCGCCATTAATAAAACTAGGACGGAGGCACAACTAGAACATAAAACTCACACATCAGTCTCAAGATATTGTAGAAAAAATTTAGATATTCTAATGGTTGCTGAAGGTTTGGAAGAACCAAGCCAACTCATGTGGGATTGAAAAACTGAACTGGTGGCTGATGTCCAGATTATACTGGATTTATAGAGGCCAACTCAATGGCAATAAAAGTTAAACACATGAAGGTAGAAAAGCCGAATTCCCAATTGATGACAAGACGTTCAACAGGTCGACTATGGCGAATAGCATATGCCTGGTTGAAGAACCAAGAAGCGGCGGGAGTCGTTCGATAGTTTACCGGATCATGCATTAACTTCATTGCATGGTGATAGTGCTCTTAGTCGTTCTTAGGCGTTTCGATGGCATAAAGAGTTGAAGCAGGGGCGTGAAGGCGTGAGAGCTCGCATGAGCAAGTCGAAGGTGAAAATGATGATTCTTGATTTTGATAACCGTGGAATCGTCCATACAGACTTTCTTGGACCAGGGCAAATCGTATGTGAAGTCTACTATCGCCAAGTACTCGAGAGATTTATTTTTTTATGTTTACTTTTTTTTATTTTATTTTACTTTATTTCATATTATTTTGTTTTATTTTATTTTTTTTTATTTTTGTTTTATTTCATTTAGCTAATTTTGTATTATTTATTTTCTTTTTTATATTCTATCTCATTTTGTTTTGTTTTATTTTATTTGTTTTATTTCATTTATTTTATATTGTTTTATTTTTTTATATTATTCGTTTTTTTTATTTAATTTTTTTAAGCTTTTTTAATTAAATTTATTTTAAGTTTGTTTAAATATATTTTATTTTACTTTATTTCACATAAATTTATTTATTTTATCTTATTTGGTTTGTTTTATTTTATTTAGTTTTCTTATATTGTTTTATTTATTTATATTTTTCGTTTTATTTAATTTAATTTAATTTTTTTTAATTAATTTCATTTTATTTTATTTATTTATTTGTTTTATTTTATTTTCTTATATTTTACTTAATTTCGTTTTATTTTATTTTATTATAGGTTGCTTAATTTTTTTTACATTATTTGATTCTATTTCGTTCTTTTTTATTTTCATTTTTTTTTCTTAATTCTTTTTTTTGACTTATTTTATTTAACTTTATTTTTATTTTACTTAATTTGTTACATTTTTTTCCTCTCATTTATTTCTGCTGAGGTAATTCAGGCACTTCCTTTCGTAACCGTTTCGTAAAAAAGTTGTATGATAATTAGTATAGCTTCAATAACGTTATCCTTTTTTGTTTTTGCTAACCCAAGTATTAAAGCCAAATTTCTTATAAAATTTTTATCAGCAGCAGTTGAAGCAATATACTTATTCTTCGCTTCCTTGCAATAAAAAAACGAGTCCACAAATTTTATGCTTCTTCTATAAGCTCGTAAAAGAGCAACATTAACTTTCTTAAAGTCAAGCCAGAGGAGACATCATTGCCATCCAACGCTTACTGCCGCCGCCACATACTACTCTTTCACCATACTTTACTATCACAACTACATACATTTTCTTTAATTATAGTATTTTTCCTGCGTAAAATCTCAGCACATTAAAGACGTGCAATAATTTTTAAGTCAAAAGTGCAAATTTTATTAAAAAAAAAAACAGACCAAACAAAAATGGACAAGTCGAAAGAGTAGTTGTGGTGAGGAGAGGTTACTGGGGGATATTTACTGTACAATGCTCACACTACAGTGAGCTCGTGGTAGCCATAAGCTGCTGTGGAGGAGTGGAAGATATACAAAAAAAAAAAACTGAGGTGATACCAAGGGCAGGCGGTGGTAGGAGGGTTGTGGATGCAGCTCAAAAAAATTAAGTGCTGGCTCATTAAAGACTTTTACAACACTGTCACTGCCATTGCCAGCAGCGCATTCGGGATGTCTCTGACATTGCCACTGCCACTTCTACTGTTTTAAGTATGTATATATTGTATATATAGCCCGCCACAGGCGAATGCTTAAAATGGCAAATGCGCGTAACAAGGCAATAACAGGGCTGGCAAAAAAAACGCATCAGCAACAAGAAGAAGCGAAAAATGCAAACAAATGAATGAACAGAATGGGCTATAACGGCAAAAAATCTCGGTGGCAAATGTTTAAAAGCCCCAGCGTCCAACAGTCAATATGTATATAATATGTGTGTGTGTTTGTGTTTCTTGTGCTGAAATGAAATTTTTAAATGACTGCTGTGTTCATCTGTCTGTGTGTGTGTGGGTTTTTGTGAACTCACTTGATTTTTGTCCACATTCGCTTTGCTTACAGCTTATACTGTTGTTGTTATTGTTGATGTACGCAGAAGGTCAATAAAACTGCTGGCAATTCATTCTTCATTGTCGTACGCCGAATTATGCTACTGCCAAGGTGCAATGAAATTGGCAATAAGAAGAAGAAGAAATAAGTGAAATGAAAATGTTAAATAAACGCAAAAGCAGTTTAAATGTTGGATAAGTACAGCAATGAACAAGAAATTGAAGAACTTTGATCTTTTCCATACTTAAAATGTAATAAAGGTGGAAATATTTGCTAGTAGTAACGGCGCTCATCGAAAGGCACTAGAAAGTTAGGTTGCCCAAAGTGGTTTAAATACACGTAGAAATATTTGGAAAAGTTGTTCATAATATATTAATTTAGTATATAAGACTTGAGAAAGGTTATTCAGATAAATGTGTATTTTACAACAAAAAAAAATTTTCCATCCGACTATCCGTCTATTTGTACGCAAACTAGACACCCAGTTTATGAGATATTTCAACCAAACTTGGTACGAGGATGTACTGGTACGTTCAAAGGATCATTTCCGGAACCGGGCAGATCAAACAACTATATGATGTATTCCACTGTTTTTTTTAGATTTGAAATTTTGGTTAAATAAACTCGTATCTACTCAAAATTTCAAGACATCAAAATTCTGTTTAAACAATTTGTTCAAATCTGAGATTTTGGCAACAAGATGTAAACAATGATAAATCAGTGAAATCGGAAAACTTTAAAAACGAAACAAATTATTGGAAATAAGAATAAAAATAAAATCATACTTTTGATATATTTATTTCTTTATGGTTTAAATCTACATTGTATGATATATCTGTTTATTTTAATTAACTTGATTTATTTAATTTTATTTATTTTTTCTTATTTTATATTATTTTATTTTATTTTATTTTATTTTAATTTTTTTATTTTATTTTATTTTATTTTTTTATTTTATTTTATTTGATTTTATTTTATTTTAGTTTATTTTAATTAGTTTTATTTTATTTTATTTTATTTTATTATTCTAATTTTTTATATTGTTCGTTTTTAAATTTTGATTTAATTGAAATTATGTTGTTTGATTTGGTATAAGTTTTCTTATTTTATATTGCTTTATTTTGCTTAATTTGGTTAAATTTTAATATATTTAAATTCTTTTAATATAAATTAGTTTAATTTGATCTTGGTTTTTTTCTGTTTTTGGTTTTTTTGTTTAAATTGATTTATTTAATTTATATTAGTGAAAATGCACTTACGTGCTGGTAAGGGGAGAATTAGTAAGAATGTGTGATGTGCTAGTAGTGGTACATTCTCATCTGTGTAAAATTTCAACCAACAATTTTTAGGGTCGCTTGCCTCGAGTTGTAAATATTTGTAATGCAACTGCAACAACAAAAACAATAATCAGTGCTAAAGCAGCAATAAGTTGTTGCATTCGCAGCATGCGCATGAGCGAGCGGCCGAATAAGTGACTCAGTGTAGTACTCGCATGGCTGAATGAGTTTTGTAGTGCATGCCGCGGCGTACAGCAGGGAACAGGCCGCCGGCAAATAATACATATGTAGGTAGCAGATGACCTTGTCCTCACACCCACGTACATTTACGCAGATATATGTACGTAGCATGTTATCGGGTAGAGCACAGCACAGCATCGTACTGCATTGGTTCCTGGGATACTCGCATGGTTAGTTGGTTGCCTTGGTCTGACGGTGATGTTGCAGCAATGGAATTGAAAGCATTCAGAAGTGGTTTTACTCAAATCCAAGGCAAAGCTAGTAAAAAAATGTAACAGAGGTATGATGAAAATGTGGCAAATAAAGCCAAATGAAAAGAATATAAAATAAAAGCAAAAACAAAAAAAAAATAGAAAA